CCCCATACCCATCCTGTGGGTGGTAGTGGACCCCATACCCATCCTGTGGGTGGTAGTGGACCCCATACCCATCCTGTGGGTGGTAGTGGACCCCATACCCATCCTGTGGGTGGTAGTGGACCCCATATCCATCCTGTGGGTGGTAGTGGACCCCGTGCCCTGTGAATCTGCAACCCAAAATTACCTTCGACCCTTAATTTGTCAACATAAATCAGCAATTAGAACAATAACAAACTCCAGCCCAAGACAGCACTCATCTCCTCAAGGTATCTCTCCCATATTAAGTCACACATCCTCTCAAGTGTGCTCAATATCTATAAGACTCTGAACTGTAATGCTAATCCTGACCTTAAGTGCTCCCTAGAGGGTTGTAACAGAACCAATGGCCACCACACTGGAAACAAATATCTTTTGGTATTCCAAGAGTGCAACTTAACCAAGGCAGAAATGCTCTCCAAATCAAGGGTCTTAACCTTCCCCTTAAGCTTAAAAATTGTACTTCTGCTCAGTTTAAAAGAGCAACTAATAACTACCCTATTGACTTGATGTAACCAATTGTCCTCCCCTGGGAGTTCAGTCTCCCAGGTGATGTTACCAGCAGCGGCAACAATGTTACTTATGGAAGCTTATATTGTGCACTTGTAAACCTTATCTTCCGTGTCTCTAGCGATGGTTTACTAATGGTGGTAAGAACACTCCCGAAGCTGATAGGTTGTAGCCCAACCACAAACCAAAGAAGTGTACCAAAGAAGTGCATCAAACCAAAGAAGTGTATCAAACCAAAGAAGTGTATCAAAGAAGTGTATCAAACCAAAGAAGTGTATCAAAGATATGTATCAAACCAAGCCACTCCGGGCTTGGGGAGTAGAAGAACTCCCAGAACCCCATCAACCAGGTATATATGGACGGATATAGGAGTGTTATTCCAGTCCAAGAGTTGTGAGTAGTGGGAGACGCGTTGTGTCCTGCGTGAGGCGGCCCTCCACACCTGGGAACCCCGCGCCCTCACACACCCGCGCTGCGTCAACCCATCCTCCCTTTACTGTGTCGCAACTTCCTCTCAACCTCTCTTCCGGTGGGGGAGGGCAGGGGTAAGGGCCCACTACCCTCCCCCCCTCTCTCTCTCTCTCATTCAGCAATCATCGTATTAATGATCTTTATGATGAATATATATATCGATCAACCTATTGATCGACTTAGCAATCAACTTATCTCTAAAAACCGATTAACTAATCGATCCACGTATACCTGGTTGATGGGGTTCTGGGAGTTCTTCTACTGCCCAAGCCCGGCCCGAGGCCAGACTTGACTTGTGAGAGTTTGGTCCACCAGGCTGTTGCTTGGAGCGGCCCGCAGGCCCACATACCCACCACAGCCTGGTTGGTCCGGCACTCCTTGAAGGAAACAATTTAGTTTCCTCTTGAAGATGTCCACGGCTGTCATATCAACAATCAGTTTAGTGATCAACAACAATCGCCATTTACAATTACAATAAACAACTACAACAAGAACCAACAACATTAGAGGAAGGTGTGGTCCTGGAGGGAGAGATGTCATCACCTGCTTCACCTCTTCTCTCTTTCTCACGCCTGTAACACGGGTTCGGTTCCTCTCTCTTTACTTCCTTCTTTCTACTCCCTCTACCCGTATTCTTACTTTTATTTCTAAACCCAGGGACTCCAAAACTTTTACCAAAGCCAACTCCACGCCACGTGGTCCTAAGACGATTGACCGACTTAGGATTCTACACCCAGTATGACGTGACCTAAGCTCTGAACAAAACCCTAGAGTCACCTCTGCTGCCACCACCAGACCAGTAATACAAGAGCAATGATCGAGGTCTGGATCGATCACGCTAATTAATCAACCTAGGGGCTTGATCCCCACTATAAACGATGACCTTGAGTGTGGAATAAATTACACGGTAATGATAATTCCGATTCGAGGTTAGAATCGGCGCCCAATGCAACTCTGCCTCGTGTGGACCACGTGACCAGGACAAGTATACACATAAAACACATGGAAACAATAAAATGCAAATTAATAACAAATTTAATTTATTAAAAGAAAACTAAAACAAAATCTAAATATGTTCACTCCCTATTACTTTAACACTCCCTACTTGACCTGAGTGGCAAATGAGAAGACCATTTCTATAATTAACAATAGCAACTATACCTTGGGCGACCAGCTAGATGTCGTGGCTGGTCTAGGGGAGAGGTAAGATGTTTGACCTCTCCTAGCTGCTTCCGTGACCACACTGCTCTCCTCCTTGTCTGGTCTACCCCAGACAGAGTATTGTATTGTTCCGCATCGCTTACCCAGTTACTTTAGCAAGGTTAAGTTATAACAATTATCCTCTGTTTATACTGAATTGATCCAGACTGGTTGAATTATTTTACTGAATTAAATTACAAACATCTAACGGCAGAGCTGTTCCCGATCACAAAAATGGTTATTAAAACTTGTAGAAATAGTAGAAATAGTAGACCTGTCAACCCCTGATGACCTATGACCGCCGGTCACTCCGCCTTAAAAGTTAGATCCGATTCGTGACGTCACTGATGGTGACTTAAACTCAATAATTAGAATACTCTTGATATTGTATCCAGTACTATTATACAATACAATTTTAATGCAAAATGAATAAAGGCTAATTTTCTCTAAATTGCTGAATACTATAGGATGGTTCATTATACGCAGTTATGAACAAAGCGTCGGTTATTTCCACCGCGAATTCCCCTGGGGGTCAGGTCACCATGCGGCTCAGCTTCCCATTCTCTTTTGTCGATAAACCACTCTGGATAATTCTTACAACAGCCTAGTTTGTTACACGCCCACAAAAAGCCTTAAATATGAACATGATCGTGAACTCTGATATAAGAAATCTCTTCGCCACGTAAATGGTTAGAATGTGAGAATTCCCGGAAAGAATTTTGTTAATGATAAAGACTGTTGCCTCATGGTGCAGAAGCTGTCGTTAGTGGCTTGGTCAACTCACTAAATTGCCTCGTGTGTATTAATGGAGCAGCCATTGTAACTAACTGAAAGTTACATCGCTTTCAAACAGACGGAACTACGTCATAAATGATTATTCGTTCCACTGATTTTCTGAGGCTTCAGGAGGATAGACTTCAACAGATTCCCCGCCCACTAAAATACCTCCTTTGCTGCTACAATGATTCTAAATCACCAACTCTGGTATTTTGTACTTTGAAAAGTTCCTTCCCCGACGTCTATGTAGCATTTAATCTTGCTTCAGAAAAGATTATTTGTACATAAAAGGAATTCATTGATCTCCCATTGTGGGGAACAGGAAGGATGTTCGGCTTAGCGAGGTCCCCATGGCCAAATACTGACCTCCCCAAGGACGTAACCCACAACAGTTGCCTTACTCCCGGGTACCTATATACTGCTAGGTGAACAGAGATATCAGGTGAAAGGTCCCTCTAGACAAACTACTGACGTTCCCCAGGATCAGTGAGGGGCTAATGAACCCCATTTATCCATCCCATGAGTGGTGGTGGACCCTATTCCCGTTATGAAATGGGTAGTGGATTCCATATCTATACCGTGGGGGATATTGTACCCCCATTATAATGCACATCATATCAACAACAACAACTTATCAACAACACTACCACGCATCAAACTGATGAAGAAAGAGCACCAGGGAATTACGATCCACCAGTCATTAACAGATGCTCAGCAAGTAGCTGCTGTTGTAAACATTTTTATGGATAGTTTCACAAATCTTTGACTTGGATGGAATAGTTATTCAACTCTATATGACTCTGCAACCCGTTCTCGCACTCTCTTACAGTCAATATTGACTTATTAAATACGTGCATATGTGACATACTAAACATACTAGTTTACCTTGAAAACCTTCATAGAAAACACCGACCTTACCTAACCACCTTAGTATGTTAAGATAAGTATCTTATTGCTTCGTAATTACAATTATTACTTAACCTATACCTATAATAGGTTAAGTAACTCTGGTGGGCCCCATCTGGACTACTCTATCCACGTATGAAGATCTCACCTTCAAAAGGACATAGTTGCTTTAGAAACAATTCAACAAAGAGCGACAATAATTATCCCTGATGAGTCAACTCTCACGCCAGGATATTTGGATACAGTTTATGATGGTAAATCAGTGGCAATCCCAATCCTGACCTCAAGCCCTTCCTAGAAGGCTGTAATAGAACTCACAGTCGCCGCACGAGGAGCAAATATCTATGATATTCCTAGAGTGAGACAACCAGAGCAGTAGTGCTATGCCAATCAAGGGTCCCGAATTATGGAATGACCTCAAATGTAGCTGTACGTCTCCAAACTACTTTAAAAGAGAGACTTAAAAAATATTTGTATTTATAATTTTGTATTTATATACACGAGCTTGTACAATGTTAAATTTATGAAAGACCTGGGTAAATACTGATTCGGTATCCGGGGTATTGATTTGTGGAACCAATTACTGCGTAACATAATAGAAGTAGGATCCCTTGATTATTTCAAGCATAGGTAACAGGGGTGTTACCTATGTTTTGTTTGAAGCAAAGGTTAGACATATATATATATATATATGAATGAGATTGGGTGGATATAAATAGATGCTGCCTCGTATGGGCCAATATTACGGGCTATTCATGGCCGTGGCACCTCTTGGGTGGCTTAATCTCTATTAATCATTATGGGCCAATAGGCCTTCTACAGTTACCTTCATTCAAATGTACTTATGTTCATTCATTAAGGCAAGTCCTGAATCCTATGTTGCCCTTCGTTTCGGGAAAATCCTTAATCCTATGTTCCTCCGAATACGACCCGGCCGCCAAATCGTTTAACAACCAAGTACCCATTTTACTGTTGGGTTAAACAGTGGCTACAGTTAAGGATTGACGCCCAGTCAATCCTCCCAGGTCAGGATACGAACCCAGGCCAAAGCGCTCACGAAATGCCAGGCGAGTGTCTTACCACTACACCTCGGGGACTACACTACAATTGCATTACTCTTATGTTCCTTGTACACATTATTTTGAATACAAATTTGAATTTAAATTTAAATTTGAAACTTGTAATGACCTTAAAGTATAGCAACAACGACCAAAGAAAACGGTAATATTGAACTGTGAGACAAGCGACCATCTCCCCATAACAACAACAGCTTGAGCTACGTCGCTTCTAATTCAACAAGTAGCACTCTTTACCATCCAGCATATATCAGGAGGAGGTGATCTCTCGTTACAGGAACAATATCAAATCGTCAAAGCACTGTGGCTAAATATCTCCAGGCGACCAACACATTGGGTCACATGCCACATTACACCTGGTGGCGCCACCAACACCTAAACCCAGACAAGAAGAGCCCCGGCAACAAGGATCAGCTGACGCCATGAACACTGCGGCAAGTCTCCCTCTAACACACACCTTTGTGTAGTCTCAGCTCCTCAACGTAACAAGCACTTTTGACACTCAACGCGTCTCCCAACACCTGTACTGGTGCAGTCATCGGGAGAACAAACCCTTCATGCAAACTGTATCTATTATCAAGAAGAAAAAGTGGTATAGCTGCCATCCTGAGGTTCACTCCGGAACATGCTCTGAGGTTCTTTCCCAGATCACCTCAAGGCTCGCCCAAGCGTCATCTGGAAACTGGCACAGTTGCTACCCCAAGAGTCGCTCTTCACTACTTAAACCGGCAAGCGGGCTCCTCTTAAGGGCTACGAGTAAGGCTAGCCATGCAGCAGTAGGGCCGAGTCGCAACGTATTGTCTGATGTTCTGCAGGTAATTAAACATTTTGTTTATGTATACACTTTTAACGAATATTTATTAGTTTAGGTCTTGTTATATAATTTGCTCATCTAAATTTTCATAACCTAGTAGGTATTTTGGCTTATAGTCTGAGTTTTTTTTTAAATATTCTTGTTTCAAATTGCCAGAATATTGTCACTCAGTTAACCATGAGATACAGACATTTGTGATATATAATAACATAGTCACCTTTCTTCTCCATTGTTTACGGTGAAGAAAGTTTGGTTGTTGAAGTTAGGTTATGCCAGTGACGCATAATGTTTTGTTCCTATTGCTGGGTCTCCACCGCTACCTTCATGCCACTGACTCTGCCTCAGTAGATACTTTGTGGGTTGATCCAGTTTCCTTGGATCTCTGTTCCAAGGTTCGTGTTTCCCAGGTTATCTGCAGTATTGTTTAGTTCATCATGTTCATGATGTTCAAAAATATGCTGGTCTCACAGTTTCTTTTGCTAACATGTCCTGGGCATTATTTGGGCATGGCAGTTTTGGTGGCCCAGTATTTAGTTAACACTTGAAATGTGCATGTCAATCAGGGAAGATCATGCCATTTGACCTCACTGTGTAAATCAACGAGGGAGCATTTAAAGTACTATAATGTGTAAGATTTAAAAATCACATTCTGTAAAGAGGTCAACCAGATACTTGCCAGGGGTGATAGTAAACAGCCGTCATCTTGAAAACAAATCCTGAGTAGGTCGCAGTGGCAGGAAGGCCTTGGTTTAAATCAAGCTATCATGGCTGATGCACACTCCTCCACCTTAGAACTCCATTCTGTGGCTCACTCCACACAATCACTGACTAATGAAGAAATTCAGGGTAATCTGTTTGCTAGCAAATGAGGAAAGTGACTTTGATGATTCTGAGAATTCTAAAAATTATGCTCAGGGCTCGGGACAAAGCGATCCAGACGGTGATATCGTCGGACATGTGTCTGTCCCCAAGGCAAGGTGTACATCACCACCACTACTGCTGTGTGAATTATCATAAAAAGGCTATTACTAGTGACTTAACAACTATATATGTGTAGCAATTGGCAAAACTTTTAGATTCGTTTTGTTTTGAAAGGTAAAGCATATGTTGAGTTAATTCATGGGTGTTTGCCTACAAAGTAACCCATATTCTTGTTTAATGATAGTGTGGCTTACATTTCACAAGCATTGATATACATATTGCGGTCCCCGTGGCACAGTGGTAACACACACGCCCCATACTTTGCGACCAATTTGGCCTGGGTTCGTATCCTGACCGGGGAGGATTGGCCAATCCTTAACTGTACACCTCTGTTCACTCAGCAGTAAATGGGTACCTGGTTGTTAAACAATTTGGTGGGTCATATTCTAGGGAAAATTAAGATTAAGGACCTGCCCGAAACACTTTTCTTGCTAGTGACTTTACAAGAATGTAAGAACTCTTTAAGCAGTCTCCGTGGTGTAGTGGTAAGACACTCGCCTGGCGTTCCGCGAGCGCTATGTCATGGGTTCGTATCCTGGCCGGGGAGGATTTACTGGGCGCAATTCCTTAACTGTAGCCTCTGTTTAACGCAACAGTAAAATGTGTACTTGGATGAAAAAACGATTCTTCGCGGCAGGGGATCGTATTCCAGGGACCATAGGATTAAGGACTTGCCCGAAACGCTACGCGTAGTAGTGGCTGTACAAGAATGTAACAACTCTTGTATATATCTCAAAAAAAAAAAAAAAAAAAAAAAAAAAAAGTATATAAATAAAATATAAAATAAAAAAAAAATACTGGTAACAATGCTTATGATTTTTGTGTCTGTGGTTTGCAGGACAAATTCTTAAGAGGAAAATGTTGCGTGATCTCACATCAGTGCTAGTTGGGGGATCTCGAGGATTGCCTCCAACGCTTGCTTTTCTTTTCAAGTTGGCTTGGGCCTCAAGAGTACGTCTGCCATTGCTCATTGCCATTGGATTCATGGTCACCAACATTCACTTACGGTTAGAGATCAACGTCAACATAGAGGTGGGGGAGGAGGAAGGTCAGCCACCAGATCAGCAGGTACAACAGGGAGAGCAACACCTCTAGATCATGTATGCATGTACCATTATGGGCTTACCATACCAAGAATGACTGAGGATTTGTGTGTGTGTGTGTGTTGTGAGTTATGCACATATTATTCAATAAATTATTAGCTTGGTTTTAATACTGCAGTTGTCTTTCAGTTAAGTTTCCAACTATTATCTCTGAAATAACAGCATCAGTATTTAATAAAGTAATTAATAAATGTAATTATTACAATTATAGAAAACTTTAAGCATAGGCCTAACTGATCGTAATTTTGAGAGGGCTTATATTGCATTTAGCCCCACTGTGTAAATCAACGAGAGAGGATTGATTTTCATTTGTATGTTTATTAATATGGTAAGTAAGAATTTTTGGCTAAATGTGGTCGTCATAAATTTGTAAAAGTGCTCATATCTTTTAATGCTTTATAATTACTGTATGTTCAGTTTTTTGTTTTGAATTGATATCTGTTCGATACATTATTGGCTTCTACATCGCTAAAATTTGGAATGGAATGGAGAGCACACACAGTGGAGATGCTTAAGGAAGATGCAGTTTTATTAATTACTGTACTTGCAAATATAGTACAGTATATAATTTGTTTAGAGTAAGAATTAGTTATATGTGGAAGTGTAAATGTATGGCATATGCCTAAAACACCCCATTAATGGGCATTGCAAGATGTTATAGGATGTACTGGAAGGTGTCAGAAAAATTGTAAGCCTTCAGTAGTGTTTTTTCTTCTAAATATGATGATAATTTTCTTGGAATGTTACGTTTAGAAAAGAGTGTTTCAGCAGGTGTGTTGCTTATTATGAACATCTGGTTGTAAGTTCCTGTAGTGCAGTGGTTTTCATCTGTACCTCACAACCAAGGATCCTGGGTTCAGTCCCCAGGTGGGACATAGTCAGTTGGTCATGCTTCCTTTCACCTGATGTCTCTTTTCAAACAATAGTATGTATGTACCTAGGAATTAGGTAACTGTTGTGGGTTGCATCCTGGGGAAGGTCATCAGTAGTTGGCTTGCGAGGACCTGGATAAGCCTAGGAGGCTTACTATTATTGACTATGGAATAAGATGAACCATATTAGAGTTATGATTGAAGGTACACTCATCAGTTTGTTTAGATTCTAATGATTTGATTATTGGCTATCAGATTGATGATGCTGGAGGGTAAAAGTGGAGCATAGATAAACTATATTTTGTGCATTATATAGACCCCTTCTTCAGTAATCCAACATATGATGAAGGAAATTCAATAAGAGTTCATTGTTAGGTGCCATATGCACTTAGAGAATGTAGTGTAAATTTCCGAGACCCGCGGCTCTTCAATCTGTTGCCAACAAATATAAGAAATGGAGCTAGAACAACAGTGGGAGCATTCAAGAGAGAATTAAACAAGTTTTTGCTGAAGTTACTGGATCAGCCTGTCTGTATGGGATTTTAGGCGACACACACAAACATCCTCACAGACCGGGTAATCAACTGAATGACCCTAACCAGTCAGATCTGACACTGACGTAATCTGGAAAGCATTAACTATTCACATAACATACTTTAGTACAGTATCAAACGTCGGGTTGCTTTGAATAGGGATACAACTGACATACCACAAGCGAATTTCTCCCAAATTATTTGCATTTATCCCTTGCACTGTGATAGTTGATGCAGGTCAACAAAATAATAATGGTATTTCACTACATTTCACTACTATAATCAAATTTTTCTAGGTGTATAGGATTTTTTTTTCTCCAAATCCTGTAATGTTTGAAAAGGTTTACTGACCTTCAAACTTAGAGGTGAATGTGCTGCCATCTGTTAATGATTAGCATCAAGCTGCGCCCCAAACAGTACCACCAAATCCACCAAGAATAATTCCCATACACCACACTTGGCCCCCCTCATAACTGTTTTGACAATATTTTCGACATGTTTTGTTGTTTTGAATGTTGTGACATGTTGTGTAAAAGTGATATATTCTCGGTACAGTATATTATTGTGCCTATTAACGTTGATTAACAAGTTTGATGTTTTGAAAATTTGTGTGTAAATGTTTTCTTGCTCAAGACAGTCATTGAAAGTTGCACAAAAAATTTGGAGCTGCAGCAAAAAAAGCCAACTAACCCTAGGAGTAGTAATACGAATCTTTGACTTCAAGGGAAAAAAGTGCTTATTTAACTGTACAATTCCCTGTTCTACCCACATTTGAAGGAACTATCAAGGGAAAGTACCAAGCCATTATGACTATATAGCACTGGGAAGGGGTCAGGATAAGGATTTGGGATGGGATGGGGCATTGAAGGAATGGTGCCCAACCACTTGAACGGTTGGGGATTAAACGCCGACCTGCATGAAGCAAGACCGTCGCTCTACCATCCATCCCACGTGGTTTACCCACATTTGAACTACTGTACTTTATTTAAGCATGAACATAAGGCGTCAAAAATAGGGATACAACCCTATTTTTTCCAGACTAGAAGTCGACTAATCATCCCAGACTATCAGTGGACTCTCATACCAGGAAAGGCTAAGGGCCATAGGACTAAACACTGCAAGCCCGACATGACAAGGCAAATCTCATAGAAACTTTTAAAATACTGAACAAAATGGAGAATATTAATGCAGACCATTTCCATAAAAGGTCAGATGTTCATACATGCAAGGGGCAACATCTTCAAATTCAACAAGCCATAATGTAGGACAGAAAACAGGAGATGCTCTTTAACCAATAGGGTTATAAACCTATGGAACTGCCTACTTGCCAAAGCTGTAAATGCCAAGATACTACCCTAGTTCAAAACCCAGTTGGAATTTTTTTTTTTTGAAAAATACAGGGGGACATTTGACAAGCTGCCAGCATCCTGTTCCCATTGTGGCCTGTAGAAAGATATTGGCTCCTAAGGTAAATTCAGGTAAATATTAATTTTGTTTTATCAAAATACTGTATAACAAAACATGACAAACAACACATCAGTAGCAGAGGTACATACCCTCAATCCCCTATTTTGAAATTTTCTGAGGCAATGTTTGATACATGTGATTAAGGGTATGTGGATAGGTTTTTATGGTATGACACATGACAGATTCAAGGCACTGCCATCAGAGCCTTGAATTGGTGGCTGCCATCCCAGCTTCCACTGTATGTCCAGTTGTTTTTCGCTGGAGCTGAGAAGCAAGATCACAGGTCTCGTCTTCCCTTGCCCACTGCTTTGCACATTTGGGCTGTGATTAAATTTTTCTCACCATCTCGTGGGTAGCCTGGATGCCTTGCTTTTGCTTCAAGTTGGGGATTGCTTACTCGATAGACTATTGTGGAAGTGTGGTGGTCTGGTGATGGTCAGTATAGTGGATAGCTGGCTAACTGTAGTTGGCAGAGAGGTAATTCGTATCTCTTGAGAGTGGGTGTTAATTGATATGGTTTTCTTTTATGTGATAACAATCTTTTGTCTCTAGTGAATAATTGATTTGCAGTATTTTTCCACTTTCATTCCTTCCTATCTACATGACAAGACTGGTTGCAAAGTTTTAACACCCTGTACAATCTTGTCAGTGTGGTACTAGCCAATAACAGAATGGCATGTGTGGAGGCCTGGGTGGACCAGGGCTTCCTTCAGGGAGTGACCAAGGGACTTCTCTGAAAAAACGTTTTGTTTTGTACTGGAATCCTTTATTGATATATTTTTTAATGATACAGTATTAGATATTAAGAGAGAGTCTTTTCCTACTTGAAGTGTAATAACAAATGCACCAAAATTTGTTTAGCCCCAGTTTGACCACAAACTATCACTTTGGTGTGGGGTTGTGGCAGATCAGTTGGTCATGTGTTCAGTGAGCAAGTACCACAAGCGCACATGGCACCTGAAAGATGGTGAACTATACTTGGCCAGGATGAAGCCTTGAGGAAACTAATAGAGGTCTATAGTGATTCTGATGTCAAATCAGTCATCACAGCTGGGTGTAGGGGTGACAGAGTAAGCGCGTGCACACAAAATGTGTATTCGCAGTGAAAGGGTTAATGTTTGTGCAAGATGAGTACCCAAGATGTTAACTAGGGACATAAAAAAAAAATCAACCTAGCTGGGGTAATCATTGGTAAGGTTTGCATAACCAGACACAGCAGACTCTGGGAAAACATCCTGCACAATCTTGTAACACAAGAAGAAGCAGCAAGGTTCTGTAGCACAGTGGTGTATGTTTTCAACTCATAATTTAGGCATGTAAAGGCTTTTATCAAGGTAATCCATCTACAGTACTACATTATTTAAGCCCACTTTCTTCTTGGTGTTTCCCTGCATTGTTGTCACTACCTTTTACCCTTCACTAGCAAAATGAAACACAATTTTGCTCTTAGCATAGAATGATTAAACAATTTCTGGCACCTTTCATACGTTTAGTGAAAGTAAATGTGAATTGGTGTGTTGTGGAATGGTTTCAACCTATTATATATAACGAATGTACTACATGCATTACTGTATTTGTTTTATAGATTGTTTCAAATTAATGTACCTGAATGATCTAAAACAAGATAAATTGTATTGAAATGAACTGCTAAGATATTTACCATCAATATACCTTATGGGAGATTTTTTTTTTATTTTTAGACATCATCTTGATGGCAAATTTATCATTTGCCATGTACAGTGTACTGGCAAAACCTTGCCTTAATATCAAGTGGGGTGCTCGCCCAGCTCATACTCATGATTTGATAAGTGTCAAATTTAAAGTGATGTTTACTTCACCAAAAGCACAAGAATCTAGGCATCCCACCTATATAGAGAGACCAATGCTCATTGGTCTGAGGAAGCATCAATTTTGTAGTGGTTTTAATATCACCAAACACTGGAGTTTTGGTGCTGTGGTTGATGAGTGTACAAATTGTGATGTATTATGTGTGAGGACAGGATATCTTGGATAGTTTTAGTTGAAATTGTAGGACCAGGAAAAGTTTTGGCAGAGCCATTGTGGTTATGTTGTGTTTTTGCAGGGATATATATATATGCAGTATTGTGTGTTATTAGTAATGACACTGATAAATGCATGAAGGGCATATTGACAACCATGCCTGTTAAACTATAGTTTACCAGTAGACACAGTGAAGTTGCTAGGACATGGCAGTAAAAGCAACCTGTCCTCTCGACTAGTATAATTCGCATTTCGTACGGAATCGACCTATTTGTTAATAATTTGTTTTTCGCTTTGCGCTTCGCGTGTCAGCAGGTGATGCTCACTTCCTCTTTGGAATGTGCTTGGGCCCTGGCTCTTTGGTTTTTGTCACCTTTTTCGTCCTTGCTGTTATGCAGATTCTGCGGTCGGCAGTATCTGCGGGCAGCAGCTTATAGTTGCTGTCCGATGTCTGCGTTGGCACTTTCGTTGCCTTCCATTTGGCTTGTATCTGGCACCTTGCGTGTTTACACTCCTTATTTGGGTCGTGGCGACCCATCTGCATCTGTTCAGGGTTGGGTGCTGGCCTTCCTAGACGACTGGCTGGTGTGGGCTCCCAGCCAGTCCGAGTGTCTGCTCACCAAGGTTTTGGTTCTTTCCCAGCTCATCGGGTTTGGGTTCCTGGTGAACTGGAGGGAGTCCCATCTGGTTTCCTCTCAGGTTCGAACTTACTTGGGTCTTGTGGGGGGACTCTCGGACCACTTTCTTGTCTCTCCCTCAAGAGTCTCTGCTTCGGATGTGGTCCTGCCTTCACATGTTTCTGGGGGCTCCCGGGTCTCTCGGCGGGTGTTCGGGGGTTTCTGCGGGAGCCTGAACTTTGTCGTGATAACCTAGCTGGTGCTAGGTTATTTATGGTCTACCCGCCGGGTTGGGTTTGGCTTCGTTGGCTGGGTTTCTGCTCTTTTGGCTCTGGTGATAAGTTTGTTCATTTACAGTCGTCTCCTTCTTTTCTGGCAAAGAATGAGAAGTCTGCTTTCCGGAGGGATCCTTGGGTTGTTGATGCTTGGTTGTTTCGACTGGGGTTGCATCATGTGTTGTCTTGTTGCGGCTCTCCGCCGTTTTTTGTGCGCCACGGCCTCCGTATTTGGGGACGCACTTTGGGTTGCCCCGGTTTCACTTCTTCCCGGATTCGGGTTTCCTGGGTTGTTTGCTGGGTTCTTTGGTGCCATTGGTTGTCTAGCTTTTGATTCGAGTTGCTCATGGTGAACGCCTCCCGTGTGTATCCCTCTTTTCCTTATCTTTGGTGACGTAGCTCCAGGGAGCTGAAGGGGCTCCCTCCAGAAAACCAGCATTGAATGTAATGAAAGGTCATTTTCTGGGCGAGACCCAGAGGCTTCCCGGCATCCCTCCCTCCCTCCGGTCAGCAGTTTTCGCGTGTTTTGACATCCAGCCTCAGAACTGAGGTGTGGGTAGCCGGCGTGGGGGTCTGTGGTTTCCCCTTCTGGGGAAGGAGGAGCTGCGCAGACGGTGACACTGCATGTGGTGCCGTCATGCTCGTTTGCTCGTTTTCACTTGGGGAGTTCAGTCCACTCTTTTGACTTGGTAGTAGTTTCAACCAGAATAGTGGTTTATTTTGGGATACTTACCTTTCTGGGTGCCTGACCCAGTTGATGGCAGACATAGAATGCTCCATAACCACATGTGCATTTCTATAGGCCATTGCTCCTTGGGCCTCTCTGAGGAGGGCCAGGTTCTGGCTCGTGGTCCCCGGTAGGTCTAAAACTCCATTCACATTAATGCCAAAGTCTAATATATCCACATCAGCCTGGATGGGTCCGTGGGAGCCTCCGGGTCTCGCCCAGAAAATAGCGTTTCATTACATTCAACGCTGGTTTTTTGGAATTTTTCGCTTTTGGTGCATAGGCAGGAATGACAATTTTTCAATAGCTGCACATTGAGGGTTGAAAATACTACATGGAGGTGCACATGACTAAATAACTCGCATAACAAATGGGGAAAAATTGCACATTGGCACTTGGAGCAATGTAAGGGCTAAGGAAGAGTAACGTCATGATAATATCAGGTAACATACTGTACTTATGTTGTTAGTGTAAAAATTTAATAAGCTAACAGATACATTTTTTTTGCCAACAAATTATTAAATACGGAAATAAAAAAAATAAAAATCAGTATGAATGATATAGAACATATGTACATTTTACAGATTTAAAAAAAATGGCTCTGAGGAGGTATAGTTTCACAAGGTCAAGTTTATGTACAATAGCACACAATTTTGGTCCATAGGCATATTAGTATTTTGGTCCATTCTCTCTGGAGCTTTATATGAGTCATAGGTCTTTTATTTATTGTTGTAAACACAAGTAGACAAACTGTACTAACACCAAATATCAGTACAAATGACAGATTTGGGAAGTTTGGCTGTTTTAACACAGTGACGACATTACGTTGTTAACAAGGGTTCACACACTTTGTCACACCTTGCATGTGACACTCTTGGTGCCAAGCTCTCTTGAGATTCAATTAATATTGTAATCATTTCCTCAAGTCATGTACAGAACAAGTTCATAAAATCTATAATACATGTGGTATTGTGAATATGTATGACAGTTGATGCCACTTTAACATGACAGAAAAACATAAATCGGTTTATTCTTTTACATTTCTTTAATGATTTATTTACCAATTTTAAGGAAAATATACTGCATTATAAAGAGATATTAACCCATTCATTGCATGTCTATTATAATTACCATACACATTTAACAATACAGTAATATAATTTTTCTACATTTTATTTTTAATATTACATATAATTACAAAGTGTAGTTTCATTCTATACTAACTCATAAACATAACTGGATAATATGTATTAAAATTAATACTTTTCGAAGCATCATTATTTTATCATACAGCATCAAAATTAATACAAAACTTTTAAAAACATTGTACTCTAATAGATATCATTTTACCTGAAAATACAAACATGAGCATCCATATTGAGTAAGTCTTCTACTTGTCTTACTCTAGAGGTCAATCATATTTGTTTTGCTTTTCTAATGCAAGATTAAAAACTGCATATTTGCATTGTCCAATTACTATGAGCATTATTAGTAATTACAGTAATGTCAGTTTATACTCCTTACAACTCTTGTATTTTTGAGTTCTGCCATTATACCATAATACTGTACATTATAAACAGATAAAGACTGACATCGAGTGTAATTGAAACGAAAACGTTCAGCCAACAGAATGTCAGGTTTCTGAAAAATCTCTGACAAGTAAAAAACACCAGGTGAAACCTAAAATTTTCCACTATAACAGTACTTGAATATAAAGAGAATGGCTATGCAGTATATCCAGAAGGAGTTGTAAGTATATGCATTAGTATATTAATGTTAACATTTTGAATGTTCCTGGTGGACACAGTTGGTTGAAAGCAAGTGATGTTACATAGTAAACTGTGTATAACATGGGACACTTTCAACCAACACTGCCCACTGGGTTACAGGTAAGCTACATCTAAGTAGCAAAAGGGTTAATTAGCTATATAAAAACTTATCATAGATTGATTTAAGAAATTTTAAAGAAGTGACAAACTAATTTATCCTGGAAACCTGATTTTGAATAATATAATGAGTACATAAGCCTACATGTAATCTGGCAGCTATAACTTAATCTAATAGATTTTGTGGAGCTGGTAAAGTTAGTTTGAATAGGTAGATAAGTGGTATCATAAAGACTACTAACTATAGAAGTGAACGTAAACCTGGAAAGTTTGGTATGTCGTAATTGGCGTTATGAACAGCATCAATAAACTTCACTAAATCTATGATGACTTTGTTATAATAAAAAAGAGGGTAACCCTGCAAATAAATGTGCAGATAATTGGATTTCAGTCAAAATTAATTTAAGGTTACTGTATTTATTTTCAAGTGCTTTAAATAGACAGTGTTCACAAATTTAGGATAAAACATATGATAATAAACTAAATATTTGTACAGTGGAACCTCGAGTGACGAGCGGCTCCAGTTACGAGCAAACCACTCGCAGACAATATGTCTCGACTGACGAGTTTTCGCTCGATTAACGAGCATTCCCGCTGGTTCTTGGAAACCTTTGACGACAGTTTTGTTGTTTCGTAAGACGGGTTTTCCACATGACGAGCTTGGTGCCAGAACGGATTAAACTCGTTAATCGAGGCGCCACTGTAATTTAATTATAAACCAAAATCCTGTTGGACATAATTTTCCCCCCTTGGGCAAACTAGACAAACACCGTAGGCATAATATGAATCGATAATATGTTGATTAAATGTTAACTCGATTTGCCTGTTAGGTCAACTATTTATGAAATGTAGCATATTCCACATATGAAATTGATGAACAATCGTAATTCCCAAGTTATATGAGCTATACCTTGGCACAGCAATAATCCCAATTATACGTGAGCTTTATAAACCCAGATATGTACTGCTCAGTTCATATACCCATATGCACTGTCTGCTTTGGTGGTGCTACATTAGCCTTCCTGACTTGGCACCTTCATTATGAAAAGTACTTGCCTATCTTTAACCAATAAAAGTCAACTAGTTTCAGAACATTTGATGGCTTGTACATCAAAGACGGCACCTTTAACATATTACC